CATTTGCAAACAAACTTTTACCCTTAATTCATTCAGTTTGTCATCGTACACGATTCTTTAACCTGAACAATCACCGTACAACAATCTTCTATATATGTTTGTTGTTTGGTGGTGAATTCTATGCACAACTAGAAGCTGATCAGTTGGCATACGTACAGATGACTGAGTGATACTTTTCTACTCGTGATCACTCTTCATTGAGTCACACTGAACAATATGTAAGTGACTTCTTGTAGTTTTTCGGCAGTCAAATTAGGACTGAAACCCACCCTGTTAAATTGCGTATTATAGAATCCTGTGCAGACAGTGTTTCATCTCATGTTGCATAAATAAGATTTTGTTTGATAACAGGGCTGTGCAGGAGTTCATGACTGTCAATGTAAATTAAAGCACTGACAATAGTATTAGTATCTATGGGAGATTTCCAAATCGGAGAGACAATGTTCATTTTAATTGTCTGAACAGTAGCGGACGGCGAATGCCAGTTATACAGATTGACACCATAACGTTACATACATGTACAATATACGTCAGGTGTAGGGGAAACCAAGTATCAAACCACAGACAGTGATAACATCAAATGATCATGAATATTGTCCATGTGGAAGTCCACATCGATAAACAGGAATAATATGGAAACCATAATTTCAACTAGTCGCAATTAAACCAAATCAATATCATTGTTGATGTGTTTCAACCTTCTTTTTGACAGCTACCACAAGAACACCGGAAACCATATCGATCACCACTACGACCGTCAATGGAAAACCGAAACCAAGTAAGTTCAGTGTCACAAAATGAAAAAGCACACACCGCTACAGAGCGGAACGCAGACAGCATTAATCATAGTTAATACACCTCAAAGCGATACTGAAACACACATGCACAACAATGAATTTGAAATCGTGGTATCGTCTTCAGAATGCTTGGCATACACAATAACTGTTATCAGACAAGTGATGTACATGCACTAATCAGATATTATTACACTTGTGTGCACTGTGATTTACGTTGTTTACTTCCTGCCCTATCATTATCCGACTGTCAAACATCACCAAATCAGCTGTGCATGGACGATGACTAGCTTTGAAGCTGATCAGTCTAAGCACATACACACAAGTAGCTGTTTTTCTGTGTGGCGAATATTAAATGAGCTATTTACCACTATCACTTCAACTATTGCTTCGCGTTTGATTTCACCTCAGATAACAAACAAGTGTCTTTTAATATTAGTCACAGAATAGTTGTTTCGTGGAGCGATTTGTGGTGCTAGAAGCGACGTGCACAATAGAAATTCTCAAGTATGTCCACATAGTACTCTAGTAGCCACAAATGAGTCAATGACTAGTAAGTAGAAGGATCATGGACACTGGTGAAGTGTTATATTTTAGTTAGAATAATGCATGCAATAATGTACAACGCATTTGTCATTTCATATAAACACCACATTTCTGAGGAAATAGTGCAACTAAATATCAATATTCATCACAAAGATGCTCAGCCTTATTGTAGTTCTAAATTCAGTTTGCCGAGTTACGAACCAGTATACTAACAGTGTGTGTGACCACTCTTCCGTAGACATGTTCAGCTTTATCTTGTTACAGTAAATAAGGGGACTGTAATAAGTAATTCTCATAGTAGTAGTTTCCGGAAAGGTTGATACAAATCAAACGTTTGTGTGTCTTGAAGATTTAAGCACCATGCTTTATAATAATCTTGATCTTTCGGACATAACTTAAAAACGTTAAACTTAATACCCTTGGAATATCCTTTTGAAGCCCAACTCACCCAAATAACCATTTTTTCAAATTCCTATTTCGAGCGACACAACAAATATAATAGCTTGCAAACATTTGACTGATTCAACAGTAGTAAAACAACTCAGACTTAAAAGGGTTACTGTTTTTGGCATGCGTTGAATAGGGCACGCAATAGGGAACAAAACATTCGAGCATCATAATCATCAACACACGAAAATCAATATTTACCAGCAAAAACGAATATGGAAACTTTTCAATTAGACACAAGATTCCTTGTAGACTATTTATAATTATCCGTGTAACGACTGGTAGAAATCACAACTCGCGGTAACGTGAATTAGCTGGTTGAACCAGATCAGACCATATCACTGACATTGCTTTAACGTGCACAAGTGGGAGCGACATCAAGATTAATATACGTGCATGCAATATCCAAGCACTTCTGTCAACACGTTTTCCATTTGCAAACAAACTTTTACCCTTAATTCATTCAGTTTGTCATCGTACACGATTCTTTAACCTGAACAATCACCGTACAACAATCTTCTATATATGTTTGTTGTTTGGTGGTGAATTCTATGCACAACTAGAAGCTGATCAGTTGGCATACGTACAGATGACTGAGTGATACTTTTCTACTCGTGATCACTCTTCATTGAGTCACACTGAACAATATGTAAGTGACTTCTTGTAGTTTTTCGGCAGTCAAATTAGGACTGAAACCCACCCTGTTAAATTGCGTATTATAGAATCCTGTGCAGACAGTGTTTCATCTCATGTTGCATAAATAAGATTTTGTTTGATAACAGGGCTGTGCAGGAGTTCATGACTGTCAATGTAAATTAAAGCACTGACAATAGTATTAGTATCTATGGGAGATTTCCAAATCGGAGAGACAATGTTCATTTTAATTGTCTGAACAGTAGCGGACGGCGAATGCCAGTTATACAGATTGACACCATAACGTTACATACATGTACAATATACGTCAGGTGTAGGGGAAACCAAGTATCAAACCACAGACAGTGATAACATCAAATGATCATGAATATTGTCCATGTGGAAGTCCACATCGATAAACAGGAATAATATGGAAACCATAATTTCAACTAGTCGCAATTAAACCAAATCAATATCATTGTTGATGTGTTTCAACCTTCTTTTTGACAGCTACCACAAGAACACCGGAAACCATATCGATCACCACTACGACTGTCAATGGAAAACCGAAACCAAGTAAGTTCAGTGTCACAAAATGAAAAAGCACACACCGCTACAGAGCGGAACGCAGACAGCATTAATCATAGTTAATACACCTCAAAGCGATACTGAAACACACATGCACAACAATGAATTTGAAATCGTGGTATCGTCTTCAGAATGCTTGGCATACACAATAACTGTTATCAGACAAGTGATGTACATGCACTAATCAGATATTATTACACTTGTGTGCACTGTGATTTACGTTGTTTACTTCCTGCCCTATCATTATCCGACTGTCAAACATCACCAAATCAGCTGTGCATGGACGATGACTAGCTTTGAAGCTGATCAGTCTAAGCACATACACACAAGTAGCTGTTTTTCTGTGTGGCGAATATTAAATGAGCTATTTACCACTATCACTTCAACTATTGCTTCGCGTTTGATTTCACCTCAGATAACAAACAAGTGTCTTTTAATATTAGTCACAGAATAGTTGTTTCGTGGAGCGATTTGTGGTGCTAGAAGCGACGTGCACAATAGACTTTCCCAAGTATGTCCACACAGTACTCTAATAGATACAAATATTCAATGTAGGAGGAATGAGAAGGAAACTTGACTCGGCTGACAAATAGTCGGACATTGAATTACTGGACATCTGTACATTGTTTATGCATAATGTTTTATTCGTTTGATTCATTTTCTTACTTCATGCATATGCATTGTTTAAAATTCTGTATAAACTAAGCATTTAAATCTATATTAACGCACAATATCATTAGAATTTAAATAACTTTAATGAGATTTTCGTCGTAAAACTACCATTAATCATAGAAGATGTAAAGAAAAATATTAAATATACATAAAACAAACACTAACAATAAATAATGGAAATCGAAAATAGCATAAAATTAACCACAGAAATAATACGGTCACCGTCATTCGCGCAAATTTCAGATATCATTTCGCCAATGATTGAAGCTGAGAATCACTCTTCACTAGAAAGTCCTGTAAGCGAATCTGTGAGACTGTGTCATTCAGCAATTACATTTCGCCCACTGTCAATATCCTAACTAGTTGCACTTTACTCCACTCCACTTACAGCTCATCCGACTGGCCGTGGAAACAGACCAGAGAAAAAACGTGAGTAGATTTTTTAAACCAGTTATTCATATGGCTCATCAGTTCATGCGAAATCCCGTCATTCAATTGTCTCACAAATGAACAAAAGCATTCATCACATGATTACCTGATTTGCAATCGATTTACATTCCGTCTCAGCCGAACATTGACTGCTTCGTCACACTCACAGTTTTGTTTTCCCTTATGGTGCGGAATTTTAAACAACTCAACACCTCCCTTTCATGTTCAGCATGTTCGTTGTTCACGTTGAATGCTGCCACACATGCGATGTATTAGCGCCAACCAGATATTGAGACACCTGTATGCACTTCGATCCACTGCATTTCTCCCTTGTTCTGAGATCGCTTCACTCTCAAATATCTCTCAATCGATTTTGTGTGAGCAACGATCTAGTGTGAAATCAAAAGCACGAATCATTCGAAACTCCCAACATCGGCTAAACTATCGTTGTTGTGTAGCATAGCTGTGTTTCACAGTCACTTTTGTCATACTTTTCACTGACTTTACAGAGTGGATCGCCACCGGAACCGACATCAAGGCATTAGGTCCCTGAATCATGGATGCTATTGTGAATCATGCAGCCTCCATGTTTGCATCGCACTTGACGACCTCACAAAGTGATTAGTTCATCGTCGTGCAAATATATTCAATTCTGGGTATGATTGTTGTCTGACTCGTGTGGACGGTTTAAAGTCACTAGGATTGCCAGCAGTCCATGCACTTGACCAGACAGATCGACTGTCGTTTCATTCTAATGTTTCAATAAGTCTTCGCTTGCTATTGTTTGTCCTGTGACTAAATCCCAACACTTGTTCCTCAGATACTAATTCTTAACCTGAATCCTGCTTTGAGTGTCGACTCACTACAAGGTATATTTCGCGTAATTTTCAGGGTATCCTACAACTCGTAAGCCCAGACCAACTGGAAGACGTGAGTTCAGTTCATTGCTTCTAATTGTCGTTCATTGTTATTCTATGCACAAACCGATATCATAGTAGCATCTCTCTTGATTCAGTACTGTCACATTATCAGTTGTGTCAAGGAATTCACTTTCGTCCTTTAGAAACAACATATCGTCTCGATACCAACTATTCTCATTAATCATATTTTGATATTTTGATCAGGTTTATCATGAATACTTCCATCATATGCTTTGCATAGAGTTTCTTGCATTATTTCACTGGTGTTATCCACCATCAAATTTCTGTGTTTAAGTTTGCACTGAATTTCATTTGTACTTTGAGGTTTGCAACTTGTGGCAGTGTTGCACACGATAACCTCGTGTATCTCAATGCACGAACACATCACAGTTGATTTGTTTGGCCAACTCAATTGTTTGAAATACCCTGTGTGTAATCCATGAAAGCCAGTGACGAGAACCAGAGTGAAAAATCATATGTCTAAACACGTACACAAATCACATTGTGATTAGCATCACATTATCTCATGCAAAACAAGTCGGTGAGCGTCATTCGCGCAAATTTTAGATATCATTTCGCCAATGATTGAAGCTGAGAATCACTCTTCACTAGAAAGTCCTGTAAGCGAATCTGTGAGACTGTGTCATTCAGCAATTACATTTCGCCCACTGTCAATATCCTAACTAGTTGCACTTTACTCCACTCCACTTACAGCTCATCCGACTGGCCGTGGAAACAGACCAGAGAGAAGACGTGAGTAGATTTTTTAAACCAGTTATTCATATGACTCATCAGTTCATGCGAAATCCCGTCATTCAATTGTCTCACAAATGAACAAAAGCATTCATCACATGATTACCTGATTTGCAATCGATTTACATTCCGTCTCAGCCGAACATTGACTGCTTCGTCACACTCACAGTTTTGTTTTCCCTTATGATGCGGAATTTTAAACAACTCAACACCTCCCTTTCATGTTCAGCATGTTCGTTGTTCACGTTGAATGCTGCCACACATGCGATGTATTAGCGCCAACCAGATATTGAGACACCTGTATGCACTTCGATCCACTGCATTTCTCCCTTGTTCTGACATCGCTTCACTCTCAAATATCTCTCAATCGATTTTGTGTGAGCAACGATCGAGTGTGAAATCAAAAGCACGAATCATTCGAAACTCCCAACATCTGCTAAACTATTATTGTTGTGTAGCATAGCTGTGTTTCACAGTCACTTTTGTCATACTTTTCACTGACTTTACAGAGTGGATCGCCACCGGAACCGACATCAGGGCATTAGGTCCCTGAATCGTGGATGCTATTGTGAATCATGCAGCCTCCATGTTTGCATCGCACTTGACGACCTCACAAAGTGATTAGTTCATCGTCGTGCAAATATATTCAATTCTGGGTATGATTGTTGTCTGACTCGTGTGGACGGTTTAAAGTCACTAGGATTGCCAGCAGTCCATGCACTTGACCAGACAGATCGACTGTCGTTTCATTCTAATGTTTCAATAAGTCTTCGCTTGCTATTGTTTGTCCTGTGACTAAATCCCAACACTTGTTCCTCAGATACTAATTCTTAACCTGAATCCTGCTTTGAGTGTCGACTCACTACAAGGTATATTTCGCGTAATTTTCAGGGTATCCTACAACTCGTAAGCCCAGACCAACTGGAAGACGTGAGTTCAGTTCATTGCTTCTAATTGTCGTTCATTGTTATTCTATGCACAAACCGATATCATAGTAGCATCTCTCTTGATTCAGTACTGTCACATTATCAGTTGTGTCAAGGAATTCACTTTCGTCCTTTAGAAACAACATATCGTCTCGATACCAACTATTCTCATTAATCATATTTTGATATTTTGATCAGGTTTATCATGAATACTTCCATCATATGCTTTGCATAGAGTTTCTTGCATTATTTCACTGGTGTTATCCACCATCAAATTTCTGTGTTTAAGTTTGCACTGAATTTCATTTGTACTTTGAGGTTTGCAACTTGTGGCAGTGTTGCACACGATAACCTCGTGTATCTCAATGCACGAACACATCACAGTTGATTTGTTTGGCCAACTCAATTGTTTGAAATACCCTGTGTGTAATCCATGAAAGCCAGTGACGAGAACCAGAGTGAAAAATCATATGTCTAAACACGTACACAAATCACATTGTGATTAGCATCACATTATCTCATGCAAAACAAGTCGGTGAGCGTCATTCGCGCAAATTTTAGATATCATTTCGCCAATGATTGAAGCTGAGAATCACTCTTCACTAGAAAGTCCTGTAAGCGAATCTGTGAGACTGTGTCATTCAGCAATTACATTTCGCCCACTGTCAATATCCTAACTAGTTGCACTTTACTCCACTCCACTTACAGCTCATCCGACTGGCCGTGGAAACAGACCAGAGAAAAAACGTGAGTAGATTTTTTAAACCAGTTATTCATATGGCTCATCAGTTCATGCGAAATCCCGTCATTCAATTGTCTCACAAATGAACAAAAGCATTCATCACATGATTACCTGATTTGCAATCGATTTACATTCCGTCTCAGCCGAACATTGACTGCTTCGTCACACTCACAGTTTTGTTTTCCCTTATGATGCGGAATTTTAAACAACTCAACACCTCCCTTTCATGTTCAGCATGTTCGTTGTTCACGTTGAATGCTGCCACACATGCGATGTATTAGCGCCAACCAGATATTGAGACACCTGTATGCACTTCGATCCACTGCATTTCTCCCTTGTTCTGAGATCGCTTCACTCTCAAATATCTCTCAATCGATTTTGTGTGAGCAACGATCTAGTGTGAAATCAAAAGCACGAATCATTCGAAACTCCCAACATCGGCTAAACTATCGTTGTTGTGTAGCATAGCTGTGTTTCACAGTCACTTTTGTCATACTTTTCACTGACTTTACAGAGTGGATCGCCACCGGAACCGACATCAAGGCATTAGGTCCCTGAATCATGGATGCTATTGTGAATCATGCAGCCTCCATGTTTGCATCGCACTTGACGACCTCACAAAGTGATTAGTTCATCGTCGTGCAAATATATTCAATTCTGGGTATGATTGTTGTCTGACTCGTATGTACGGTTTCTGACAGCTGTGTTCGACGTTCTCGTTTTTCTTTATTTACTCTAGATATAATTGTATGCTTTCTTTGTGTTAATAGTGTTTGTTTTTCTTTTCTTCTTTCACTTTTATTTTCTAGTTTATTATCCCTCAATTTGGCCGCGCGGTTCGTTAATTTTTTCATTAGTTTTTTTGGTTTACTTATATATCTTATTTTTTCTTGTTTAGCTCACTCGTTTGTTCGCGTTTCCGGCTCATTTCCTGTTCGTTTTATTCCTTTCCTCTGCGGTATCTGTGTTTTCAAAGAATTAATTTTTTCAATTCTTATTGATTTAGTCTTTCATGTTCCTTTGTTGCTATTGTTGAACAATTCTGTTCAGACTGAGTATTGTTTAAACATTATGTTTCATACTTTCTTGTAAAAATAATAACGAAATAAGTGATCATTAATAATTCGAGCGTGAATGAGCTTAATCGTTAAGTCGTTCTGCGACGCATACTTCATATATAATTTCGAATGTTTATTCAACAAAATTAGTTGCTGCAAAGTATAACTCTTATCAAACCCTTTTTTTCTTTGAATTGCAGGACCGTCCGATTTCATTCCACATCCAGGTGATTGTTCAATTTTATTTCCACTTTGTATCTCACACATTTTCATTTGACGAGTTCTATCACAACTGTGATGATTATTTCCAAACTACTGTACTTGTGAGAATGGCGTCCACAAACTTGATCGTGATACCTGCTTTTAGATGACAGAAGACTGAATGAGTTGTCTAATCCGGGGAATGCAGGTTTCTTGCAGATCGATTGAAGTCTGATTGTACATTCGCGCCATTGTATAATCTCTAGGTAAAAGGAATTTTAGCAATTTTAGGAATTAAAACGTTCCTGAATGCAATCGGCATGAATAGAAGGATCTCTCACAGACGCTTGTCTGTTTGCATCATTTTCACGAACATTGCAATACAGAAAGTCCACATAAAATTAAATGGTACCTTGTTTCGCTGATGGTGAACATGCGAGAATTTTTCATCTATTTTAATCGTACCATAAACGGATCAGCTTAAATTGCGTGTTGTCTTCCTAATAGTTGTTTGTAGACCAATGTTAATTTTTGGTCTAATAAACTCAGTTGACGGAAATCGCTTTATCGGCGTGGTATGTTTCGATTTTCGTTGAACTTAAACATTTGTAGGAGCATGAAATTGTGACCATGTATTGTCCAACGTATTGGATAATGAATTAATTTAATTACTTATTGCCACTTTATCAAGTTCATCCAATCTTTGATAACTAGCGCGGAACGAACGTTTATGGCTGTATCATATATTTAATGTATATCTTTTGATCATCATAATTTCTGCCTTTCTTTCTTTGTCGCTCTCTTTCAGGACCGTATGGTTTCATTCCATATCCTGGTAACTTTTTAAATTCTTTTTGATTTATCATCAAATATATGTACTTATCTGAATAATGCGATCATAATTGCAGATACATTAGAAATGCCGTTTTTATCAGTACATTCTTGACAAACTTGGTCAAGATGTTCATATTATTCAGTGCTATAGGATTGAAGAGATTAGTCAACTTTATTTCATAAAATACACAGAATTTAGTTCTACATGGGGTGACAATCGAGATTCGTTTGAAACGTTTGTTTGCTTAGTACTCGTATTGTATTCTTCAAATCTCTCATGTTCATAGCCTATCACATTCTGTTATATCTGTCTCAAGCTTGAAACTGTTGAAATGCATCCATCATGTTTAGTCAATGACTCAGAACAGTGATGAATCCTGAACTCAAACAAAATAATTGCCTACTACGGTTAAGATTCCAATCGTCGGCTTCACAATATACTTGTGACATGTAAACTAGAGATGTTAAATCATGACTAAACAGTGAATGCTTTCAGACGTTAATGATATACTCTGTTCTGTCAGTAGGTGTGCACAAAATAAGATGAATGACGAGAAAATGGCACTTCTTAAGTAACATTATGCATCAATCCACTAAACGTTATATTGCATAAACGGTGACAAACTGAGTTTATTCTAATAATTTTATTTGCAGTTCCATTTGTACCTATATTCGGTTTCTTCAGTCCAGTTTATAACGGTAAGTAATATGATTGCTAGCATGAATGATTATGAAACATAGATTTCATTTACTGTCAAATAATAAACTCATTTAAAATGTAAAAAGAATGTACAAAACAAGAATATGATGATTTTTGTCAAGTGATTCATTTCTATTCGACTCCATTCTCTTAAAATACATGCGGACAATACTAACATAAAAATAACCGCGTCACAATGAAAATATACTGAGTAATTGAGAGAAAAAAAGAGATCATATACGGTAAAGAAAAATAGAAACAAAAACAAAAATTAGCCAGACATGAATGCTCACACGAGTAAATAATGGCAAAAAAATGAAAATGAAAACCAGGAAAAAAAGAACAAACTAAAGAATATGAGATGCTCAAACAAAACCATCGACGAAGTAATAAATCAGTTAATAAAAAATGTATATAAAAAGCGAAGAAAAGCATAAAGAATTGAAGAAAAAAACAGAGCAACAACTAAAAAGGAAAAATTAAGGCGTTATGTAGGAAATCCATTGATAATGAAGTGAAAAGAGACAGGTAGAATATTCACAAAAACACCATGGATGAGAGGGAACGGATGCAATCCACAGTGAATGAAGTGTTTGTTTTAGTTGTCTTTAGATCGACTCATTGTATTCTACTCCACTCCACTCCACTCCACTCCACTCCACTTTCAGATTACCCGAGAAGACGTAAATACAGACCAGAAGGAAGACGTGAGTAGATTTCATTAGACAATTATTCATGTCACTCTTTAATCCGTGCATACACTGATCATTCAGCTGCTTCACAATCAGTCGCCAGCATCCATCGAACACCTACTGACATTCACTCTCTTTTACATTGTGTTTCAAAGAGACACCAATCTGTTCCATATGGAAGTATGTTTGTGATTTCCTCTATCAACTGATTGCTGTTCACTTTGTTGTGGTGAACAGTATGATGTAGATGGATGGATGGATGGATGGATGGATTTTTGGTGTTCCGTAGTATTTGTCGGTCAAATTGTATCTAGCAAAATATGCGTTAGTCAATCGAGTTGTGTGTGTGTGTGTGTGCGTGCGTGCGTGCGTGCGTGCGTGTCTGTTGGAAGACTCGATCGCACTACTTGGATAATGTGGATTTCCTGCTCAATGCATATATGTGCATCGACATTTGAACTAATGAACAGCAATTATGAGATTCCAGTGGAATCCGACTAAATATGGAGTGGTCATGTATAAATGATGAATGGAATGGAGGAACCCTTCTATTCCGAACATTTGAATGCCTCGATCTCGCATACGAACTCACATGGTCAATAGGTTCAATGTCGTTTCCGATATACACAATTTCTTGCGATTGCTTCATCAAATCACTGATGATGTTGCTCACATTTAATCGTCCTCATGTCTCTCTCTGCCTTTCAGGATCACGCGATTACAGCCCACGTTCAGGTGATTGTTCAATTTCATTTCCACTTTGTATCACACATATTCATTTGACGAGTGCTATCACAACTGTGGTGATTATTTTCACACTACTGTATTTGTGAGAGTCGCGTCCACTCACTTGATCATGACATCAGTGGCGACAGTAAGAATGATGACATAATCGGTATGGTTGAGAGAGATCGGATGCAATCCACAGTGAATGAAGTGTTTGTTTTAGTTGTCTTTAGATTGACTCATTGTATTCTACTCCACTCCACTCCACTCCACTTTCAGATTACCCGAGAAGACGTAAATACAGACCAGAAGGAAGACGTGAGTAGATTTCATTAGACAATTATTCATGTCACTCTTTAATCCGTGCATACACTGATCATTCAGCTGCTTCACAATCAGTCGCCAG